TATTGGTTTCTTATACAAAAATACAAAGAATTCTGATATAACTAACATTGTTTTTAAAATGAGTTATTTGTACTTAATTTTTTAACTTTAACACGCATTAAAACAAATCCATTTATTACAACATTTACAAAGCTCCAAAAACCAAAAGTTTTAGTGACAAGATTTTCAACCAAGCACACAAAATAGTTTTTACGTTCAGCTTCTATCCTCAAAGTTAGCTAAGAGGTCTAAAGTCGAAAGTATCTAGTCCTATCATGTTCGAATTCACCATTCAGTTTGTCCAAGTGTGTTAAAAGTTCTTAAAAACAAGTTATTTTGATATAGACCATGACCTCGTGATAAGCAAGCAAATAATTTAAAATAGTTTAATGTAAAATAGGTTTGTAATCATTTACAGGTGACTAACACCAAAGAAAGACCAAATATATGGTTTTTTTCTCTTAAATTCAGAAAAAAATCATATAGAATATGATATTTTGCCAAAAAGGTAGTTAAAGTTAAAAAAGATTAGACAAAGATATAAAACAAATATACATTTTCGGTTGTTTCTAACAATTGGAGTAAAAACTTGTATTGTTTTGAAATCGAATTTCCTCTCACTGCACACATATTTATATATAAAGATATTTGCATAACAGACGTAGACCGGATCGGAGCCCAAAAACTGTCATTGCCAAGGTTTTTACATCCGCTTGCCGCAATCATCGTCTGTTGCTGTTGTTGTACCAAAGGGGAGGGCACTTGAGCAGCGAAATGGGGAAATACTGGGGGGCTGGAACAATTCAATAATATTTATAGCGTCGTCTCATTCTCGAAATGTCCGCGGCAACATATGCAAGTGGATATTGCTCTATTTTCAAGTGGGATTCCATTATAATATTGTTGTAAGTAGCGGAAAGAAAGGGCCTGCGAACCGGAGAAAAGGGGATATTCGAATATATGCAAATAGGAGGGCTCGGCCGCGTTGACACTTTGTGCCTCGAAATTTATTGGCATGTGCGAACAGACAGAGCCCGAGTGTAAGGATACTTTCGCAGACACCTCCCACTCAGCCGCTTGATCCGAAATAGCAATCCACACATGGCCAAACATTTAAATGTAATTGCAAATATTTAAATTCAATGGGACTCGTCCCAAAAAATATTGGACCGTTCAATTTATTACAGCCTTTGGTCGATTGGCAACGCGAAACGGAATGGGCGATTGATGGGCTTCTATGAGCGTCGTTTGGAATCCATTTAATAGCTCCTAAAAGGCGCTAATTATTTAGCCACATAAATCAGGGCGTATTTGTTGGCGAGAGTTGGTCGGGAAAAATCCAATCATTTCGCGTTAGCAAAGAGAAAATTAAATAAAATTGTTTACAGTCTTTCACTAGCACTTTCAAGCATAAACCAAACATGTTCTAAAACATACTTAGGATATACATTTTAAATAAATTTATTTATATCAGTTTTCGACGAGTTTTATTCAACTACGCTAAGGCGGGAAGCTTCGAGTTGATCTCTGCGAATAAAGAATTTTCATATAAAGTGAATACAAAAGAGAAAAATATCAGCTTATAATCACAGCGTCTTATCGATTCGAGCTAAGGAAAGTCCGAGTCCGTGTCTGGCCGGCAAACAAATAAAAATGGTCATGCAATATTAATATTTATGCACAAATATTGGACCAGGGAAAATAGGAACCAGGGAGAACAAGTTTGCTTTATCTAAGTGAAATGCTAAAAGATTGATGACTTTGGCGCTGGGGTTTCCCAGAGTGTGTGCTTGTGTGTGCTTGTGTGTGTTTTCCTGCCGCGCTTATAAGAATTTATGGCAATCGAGGGCACGGCAAACGCTGCGTATACGCAATATTTATATTTATGTATTATGAATCAATGCGAAAGGGCCAGCCAAGGCAAGGCAATAAGAACAGGAGAAAAATGAAACGAGTATAAAAGATGCGCACTAAAACAAAAGGATAACAATAACTTTTCGCAGCATGCGTGACGTGGTAAGCAGGGCAAAAATAAGGAAAAGCCAAGTTTCTGGCTGGTTGGCAAAGTAAATGGTTTTGCAGCCTTCACAGGGAAAGGTCCATTGGGGCGGATTATGAGTGAGATTCTCTTGACTCGCCCCCAAAAAATAAAGAACAGCACATAGAGCCAAGACATAAAAATTGCATGAAAATGGGGGCAGGAAATTCGGCCGCCTCCTTCACTGACTCATAAGTGCGGGGATTATCCGCCGGACGGGATGTGCCGAGGTCCCTAGTCCGTAGTCCTTGTTCTTCTTGTTTATTTGTTTGGCTTTTACGCCAAAAATTATACTATTACAATCAAGTTTACGATTGCAATTCGCTGCCTCCGTTGAGTGCCAATGAAAGCGATGATGGCAACATACGAACATGATCATTGCCACTGCGTTTATTCCTGATGATGATGGTGATTGGTTGGGAGAATACATAAATTTGACGGGGAACGATTACCATTGAGGATGAAAAGACCTGACCGTTGGGACTTTACTATTTGAAGCGGATATTGAAAGAAAATGTTTTAGTGTAAGAGACAACAATGCAATTGTTTTTAAGTTATTTTTTAATAAATATCTTTGCACCTCCTATCTCCTGTTAACAAAATGTATAAATATCTAAACGTTTTTCATTCAATTGAGGAATATTTGTAAATAGGTAAAACATTTAATTTAGTTGAGCCCAGTTCTTCTTCCTTAAAAATTAAGGTGTTTTTCTGCCTATCTTTCCTCGACTTCATCCCTCGCTGGACTCTAATGTGCAAGTTGACTTTGTGCACTCGCGTGCGCAAACCCTCAGCCCTTAACCCAATGAGGCCCTTCAACCATCTGAGGGATGCGGCAACTACAGCCACCGCAGCAACAACAAGGAAAACGGCAACGACAGGATATGCCAAGTGGGCAACTTTGGAGCAGGCGAGTTTAAATTGCCAGAGCTAAAAGGGTTGCCAACAACAACGTGACGGCGGGAAAAACGCAACTTTTTTCTCGATTTCTCCCCTTACGGTTTTATTTTTACTGAAAACATCGACAAGCGGCGCTTTTGACTGCCATTACCCCCCATTGCCACCCCCTGCAACTTGTTTTTTGTGGCACAAAACTTTGCACTTTGACATGCAGCCACGTGTGCCATGATGCTGTGTGTGTGGGTGTCAGTGTGATTGTGTGCGTGCGAGGCAGTGAATTGAATGAGCTTTCAATGCTGCCTGCCAATTGGCTGACAAACGTGTCTAATAGTTCCCAATTGCAATCAATGATTTGTGACTCAGGACTGAAATGGAGGAGAGCATTTCATAAAGTTTTATTTCAAGAAACTTGGGGAACCCATTTTTCGTTAAAGCTTTAGAAATAAAATTTAGCTGGATTATAAGGTTTCCCAAAACAAATTTATTAGTTTTAAAAAAAGTGTACTTTTTGCTTAAACATATATATGTACATACGACAAACAATGCTGTGTTATACAAGTATAGCCAACCATGGCCAAATATGTATAAATTTGAATTCTACATTATACTTAATTATAACTTATTTTAGACATTAATACTTTAAACTAATTAATATTGAGCTCAAGAAGTTCGAAGTTCTTCTGAAATTTATTTATAACCAAGGTTACGTTTCCAATTTATAAAGAAAAATCTATAATGAATCATTATTTAATCTCTAAAACGCATATAAATACTTGCAATTTATATCAGTGCTTCCCTTTGTTTTATTGCATTTAGTTGTTGACTCATTGTCTTAATTTCCTCTGCGGAGTAATCAGCACACAAAATACAGTCATTATAATCAACGACCACCCCTTAGTGCGAAATCCTCTTGATACAGTAAACACCCCCATATAAGAGTCCACGCGCACACGTGCGCTCACTTGAAAAAAATCTTTATACTCACATGAATATTTTAAAGCTCGCATCACATACAAATTATGATAATGAGAGAGTATATTTTTTGCATATGTGTTCGGGTGGGTGGGAGTGTGTGTGTGTATCAGAGTGGGTGTATGGAGCGCTAACGAGGGCAGGTACACTCCGATGCTCAGGGACAGGTCCCCAGATCCCCGTTCGAGGGCTACCCCTCATCCAGTTCCAATCCCATTTCCACTTTTCCCCTTCCCTTCCCCCGCAGAAACGCTTGCGTTAATGCATTTCATTAATTTTTATACAATTCGAATGGGCATTGTACGAGCGAGGGAGTGTGCGTGGGTTTAATGAGCACTTTTGTGCGGAGCACTTTCAAAGAAGAAGATCGTTAGAAATCACTTGATGCGTCGTCCCCCAGAGGAGTGACGAATGCACTTCTGGCCTTAAGCTCCTTAACTTTTTCTGCCTCAAATAAGGGGAACAGATGCCATTTCAACAAAGAACCCAAAAACGTAATATTCAAATTTCTTGCAATAGCAACGCATTTGAAAACCTTCTTCAGGTAATTTAAAAAAAAGAAAAACAGAAGGTTACCTATTTTTTTTAGAATAATTGAATACTGTTTTTATTTAGCAAATAATAATTTTCTTAACCGTTTTTGTCCCTAAAAACTCATGTATACATACTATATACATAATACATTGTAGGGCTGGTAAATCATTGATAGTGTGCACTAAAATATTTCTCAAATATTAGAGCGATTGTATCGACGGTATCGAGCCCAAGCCATAGATGTTTGCTAAATTGTTCGACCATCGATAGTTTCGATAGTGCTATCGACTGATATATAGTCACCGTTGATCATTAAATGATCATAAATATATAATGGTTGTTAATATTGATTCCCGTAGATTTTAAACGACATAGTTATTATGTAATTTAAAAAAAAAATGCGTATATAATAATGATTTCTTTAAGAATTACGTTACCAATACATCTACGTTAACTAAATTTAATTTTTTTCCTACCGTTACAATGGTTTAGTCGGCTTTGAATATAAGTTCACAATTGTTAAGTTGTTAAATATACATCTGTGTAAGCCCCCAAAGTTTTCTTTAAGTGAGCTATAATGGCGGATGAATTAACGGATGCAACGGAAGCAACGGTATCCGCAGTCTACATCACCCAGTGGGCAGCGGACACCACCATAGCCACCATCACCACCACGGAGAAGTCTTCGGGCGGGGGCGGCATTGGTGTCGCAATCATTGTGCTGATCGTGTTTTTTGTGCTCCTGCTCTGCCTCTGCATAATTTGCCTGCCGCTCCTCTGTCTGCTGGGCTGCTGCGGCCTGGCCTGCTCTCCATGTTTAGCCTGCGCCGGTGGATGTTGCGGCGAAGGAGGAGACGGATGTTGCGGTGGTGAAGACGACGGCGAGGATGGTTGCTGCGGGGGCGGCGGCTGCGGGGGCGACGACTGCTGCGGTGATGACGAATGATCGGTCAGAAATTCCACTTCCATATGTACGTAGTGCTGAATGCAATAAATCTTAAGTGAATAACATATACGGGTCATGGGGCAAAAACGACCGCTGGGATGAAACCGACCGGTGGTGTAAAACCCAATCATGAAAAGTCAAAAAATATCATAATCTTATTATTATATATTATGAGGTACCTCCGTTTTGAGTTTTTTCCACAAGATCTTGATTTTTTATCTAGAAGGTCAAAATAGGGAAGGGTCGGTTTCGAGCATGCCAAATTCGACTCCAGCAAGCTGCGACTATCCTCTTAGAAATTTAGTAAAATTTAAAAACTTCTGCTCGTGATACAAAATCTTTTCTAACAACGGTCTGCCCAAAAGTCCTTAATTGCTATGCGAAGAACCGTAAGACGACATGAACTGGAACTAGATTGCAGTAAGCTATGAATGTAGCTTTGATGTGGATTTCTCCTACGCATTTAATTTCTTTTTAGAGGTGTCAACTTAAAATCAGAATCAATATTCGCCTCTAAACATGGACGATGTCACGGAGACCACAGACGATGAGGTTTTAGACATTTTTTACAATGTAACAACCGCGGTCCACTTAACAACCACCCATGCACCTGAAACTAGCATGGGCCTCTGGGGCCTTCTGTTTATATTCGTCGTAATTATTCTCTTCGTTGCCCTGTGCTTTGCATGTATGGGTTTGCTTGTCCTCTTCGGATGTATGAGGTCTTTCCTGTGTATTCGTTGTCGGGGTCGTGAAGAACTTGTGGGAAGAATCCTGTGACCTAGACTGACTACTAATCATCGGAACTCAAATGTGTCCAAATAAAATTTCATTGTGTTTTATCCAAAAATTAAAGATTACAGGTAGTTTTTTTTTAACTTAAATTTTTTAAGTAAAAAATATATGAGCCCATGTTAAATTAATGGAATTTAAATGGAATAAAATTAAATCACTTCGGCCATGCCATATGCCCAATGAAATAAATGTGATTTGGATTTTTAACGGCGAAGATGAATGGAAAATTCGTCAAGAATTGTAAGGGCTCTTCGTTGCCATTTAACTCTGAAGCAAAGAATTATATAAAGCCGAGTAAATTGATTGACTGAAGGTTAACGTACTCAGTTCGAGAACCCCCTTCTCCGGATCCCGGTACAGAAGGATTAGCTTAGAGAGCTCTCTACCGTCGAAGGGCACTTCGATCACGTTCGCATCCAAAATATAATTTTCGTTCCAGAAGAAAGTACCATTCGCTTCCATGGTGTCCACAGAAATTTCAAATGTCAAAGCCATTGCTCTGGTGAAATGGGCGCTTTTTAATATCACAGGCCTAAAAGACCTTGGTCCACCTGGCATGGAAATGCCCCGCATTGGCCACCAACATCTTGTTGTCCTTGCCAATTCGCGTGGGACGGTTTGTCCATCTTGTGACCCGATGACTGGCGAATAAAGTCATAGATGGCATCGCTTGCTCCTTGGGGATCGCCGAAGTGCACCTGGTCCGCTTTCATTAAAAATGTAGAATGAAGTTTACCTTAATACAAAAAGTTTAAACAGCTAGTTTACTTTTAAAATTAAGACAAATATAGTATTTTAAGAAATAAAATACTTGTGTTTAAGCACAAATATCTTCCTAGATTGAAAATTAATTAACACTTGGTGCAATAAATTTCACTGTAATAATAAGGCATTAATTTGATATCTGGTTAGCTCAAGAGAAGTCGTCGGCTGCCTGGACAACTTGCATCTTTCTGAAGGTGATTTCGATTAGCTTCATTCGGAGAATCTTTGGCCGGAGTACCAGTGTGACAAGTGTAAGCCGGTTAGCCACAGCTGGGACCGATTATCAGATGGCACAAAGAAAATACCCCGGGCCACAGAGAAATTGCCCCAGGCCAGGCATTTTCACAGTTTCCTCTGTGGACTGAGTGCATAAATTCCTGGCAGCCCCTGCAGCTGCAGGAAAGACACAAAACACTCGTCCAAAACCAAGTCGTAAATGCACTCAGCACTTTGTCAGCTCCCAGACAGGAAATGCAGTTGCCATTTTTCTTTTATCCCTGCAAATACCGCTCATGTCCTCGCCCGGCAAGTCGCTCTCCAACTGTCTACATTTTTCACTTGCCATCCATAAAAAGTATCAGTTTTAGTTTCAGTTTTAGTTTTCACATGGCTAAAAGTCTCCTATGTCTTCTGCCTGTCTGTTGGGTCTGCTGTTTTGCTGTCTCAATTTCGCCAACGCTTCCATATTCAGTTTCATAATTTCTACCCAAGTTTATCATCCTTTTTGCAAGGCATAACAAAGTTTACAATGCCGTCGTCACTGGGGCTGGAAAAAAGTTTCCTCCAGCTGTGAAGTGCATTAAACAAAGCTCACATACATGATCTGAGTGATGTAAAAGGGAACGTGTTATGGAAAAATTGCATTTATCAGAGGAGAGTAAGGCGCTCCGCCCAAGAAGTTAACAGCTTCGATGCACTTACTTTTTAAGAGCCCTTTTTTTAAGTTTACTTAATCCTTCGGGTACAACTTTCATTTTATAGCAAAGCATATGTTTTTTTGTATTATAGTATATTACAATATTAAAAATGCAGATAGTGTATAAGTCGGAAATTCGGATGACTATATCATATAGCTAACATAGAAACACTCACTATTAAAAAAAAATCTAATTTCTCTACTTTTGAATTTTATTTTAAGTACTTTCGGCCATAGTAATAATTTGATAGTTCAGATTTACGCTTTTAATTTTATACAAATCGCAAAACGTTATATAATTGAGCTTAAAATCATCATAGCTTCAGTATTTTTAAGCATATACGCATAAAAATCGAAATTTGAATGCTTTTTGAATGCTGCAAGGGTATATAAACATCGGCTTGCCGAGGCAAAAATAGGCTGATTTTGTATATGAATACGCACCGCATGACAACTTTTTTTTAACGACTCCGAACGACCGCCGTCTGATAATTATTAATTGTTTTTTGACAAAAGATTCCTAGATACTACCTAAATATAGCCATTTATCATGTACAAAACTTGAACAATTATATTCACTCAGAAATGAGAAAAAAATTGCAAAAATGTCAAAAACCATACCGACCCCTTAAATTATATCTTTTTAGTGAATCAAGAAAATGTTCTTAATTTCAATTCGATTCCAACAAAATGGATGTGTCGTAACTAAAAGTAAAAAAAAAAGAATGTAGTCAAAAATAAATATTTCCAGGCGGCTTAATATTAAATTAGTAAATTATCGAAATTCCATGTTCTTACAAACAGACCGATGTGGGACTTATATTCTAATGTTCAAAATAATATAATTAACCGAGCGAAGAAAAATAGTACTTTTACTTTTTGTTAATAGGGTTTTTTGATTATATAAATAATTTTTATTACGATTTTATCTATAGCAAGCACATGTTTCGCAAACTCAAGGTCATGGTCGGTTATAATTAAACCACGAATAGTTTTTGAATGTTCCCACCCATACTGTTTATTCAGTTTATAGCTCTTCTTATCACTTTGTGTCATATCTTATAGCCCAAAAGGTGGTTAGCCCAGGCCTGTCTGTCGCTAATCTCTGAATTTGCCCAGCCATTTGACGAACTCCCTCAGCTTCTCCAGTCTTCGGGGTCCGCCACGAGTAAGAATCCGCTTCCACCTGCGCTCCACCGCCACCCGGTCCTCCCTGTCAATGGTTTCCAGGTGTTTTCTCAGCTTTCTGTATATCAACTTCTGCAGCTGGGCAGTTCTGGTCTGAACAGTTCGCTTCCATCGATCGAATCCGTTGCGCTGCAGGCAAAGGGCAATCAACTGGGTCTCAATGCTGGATGTTCTCAGAGGATCCCCTGTTGTGTCGGAATCGAGATAGTCCTCAACCACGCCGTAAAAAGAACTCAGCTTTTGCTCTGTACGATTTGCATTTACGGCTGTAAAGGCATCGAAGCGATCTAGGTAGCCCAAGACAATGGAGTTCTGGGAATCCAAGACGAGGAGATCTTCTACGACATTGTCCACCAGTTCAGTGGCCAGTAAAATTAGCTGATCGCTAATGGTTTGTAAGGCCTGATCTGATTGCAAAAACAATCGATAACGATTCAGATCCCCAGAGGATTTTATCAGCGACGGAGCAAGCTGGAATTAAAAATATAAAATGTTTGTAATTAAATTAGAATGATATATGTCAAAGCTAATAGGGAACTTTCTGCTCTAAATGGGTAATATCTAATAACGTTTTTTGGCTGTTTGTTTAAAGCTTAGTATCAAATTTTGCCTATTCTTTAATTAAAGTTATGCTTTAGATAAATATACATATATCCAGATCGTATAGCTTCCAACTTACCAATGCAAAGAGCAAGAAAACCAAGCAATTTCTATAGCTCATGATGATATTGCTCGCTCGAAAGTCGCTCGTCTACTGAAAGCTCTCTACTCAAGTCAAAGAACTCGGAAGCAGAGCAAATTGTAGATAGTCTTATCTCTCTGGAATTTCCATTTCGCATCGGCGCTTGTCCAAATGATAGAGTTTATTAATATAATTTTAAGTGATGACACATGACGCCATGAAGTCGATGACGTTGTGGGTGAAGAACCCGCAGATGTGCGATAGTCAAGGGTTTATTGGATTTAAATTTGTGAATGAACGCTGACAGGGGGTAGACAAAACTTATCAGCGAATAACAATGATTGTGATTCATGGAAAATGTCTGAAGAAGTTTCGTTCTATAAATTGCTCTCTTTGGCAGAGAGCAAGTAAACCATCAAAATCTGTGAGAAATGTGTCCCACTCTAAACCGCTTAGCAACTGAAGATGGCCAGCAGATGCGGCAGAAAAAGCCAAAAGCTCGACAGCGAAACTATTCATTGCGTATACGCCGCTTGGGCCGTAATAATAGTGAAATAAAAGTCCACTTAGTCAGCAGTCAGTCTGGGGGCAGAAGGGAAGAGGGGAAGGGACATGGGGAGGTCATTCATTGTGCTGGGGTTAGACCCTCAGGACAATCGCCTCTGTCTGTGTGTGCCGTTGTGATAAATGTCGGAACTGGGTCAGTGGCGTATGATGATGAAACTCGGCGGGCAAAAACGGCAAATAAAACGCCGATTGCTCGTATCAGAGTTTCAAATGAAATCCCTTATCCCGGCTCCACTTCAAATGCCTCGCATTCGGAGTTTTTGAGTGGCCAACAAATCCCCAATGCGCGCCGCAACGACGAGCTGCAATTTCAACTTTGATAAGCGAAGTTTAGTGGCAAAAGACCCAACAAAAAATCATCAACCCCCGCCATATGACAATGTTATTAGCGTGGTTTTTGCGATTTTCAGGGATTTGACCAGTTTTTTATGCCTTTTTTTTGTGCGGTTAGTGTTGCGATGGTAAATTTTGAATCCTGACGGATGTGGAAGCGTTCAACCAGGCTAAAGCTTAATTGGGTAAATGCGTTTAGGCAAAAATCACTGAAAATGTTGAAAATCCTGCAGCCAAAAAATCAAGGCAACATAATCAAACCCGAAGACTGCGAAACAATTACGTCTTTTGGGGCTGCGAAATCCCTGCCCTTTAATATGGCGAAACAATAACCGAGAAGTTTGCCTCAAGCAGAACACCCCTTCTGTTCACCGAACCCCCTAACACAAGTGCCATAAATTGCCTCAACAACGCCTGCTGTTTCTGCTTCCACTGCCCCTTTATCACCCGCCCCGTTGCATGCAAATTTCAATAACTTGTATTTGGTAACCCTTTCGAGCAACTGACACTGAATATCAAATATGAGTTGGAGCCAAAATTATTTGCATACTTTCGGGGATGCTTTCCGCCACACCAAAAAACACGAAGAGCGAAACAAAAAAAAGGACTGAAAAAATGGAAAAGTATTAGGATTGGGTTCTGCTTGAGTTTTAAATACCCTCACTGTTTGCTTTAAAATAATTTAATGTTGAAATTTATACGAATGTAAGTTAAAAACGATTAGTAGGATTTTGGGTTGGGTGAATATGATGTCATGTAGCAACTAGGATTTTTTTTTTAAAAAACAAGAACCTTTTAATATTTTAATTATATGACTTTAAATGCATATTAAAAGTTAGTTTTAAACTCTCGAAATTTATAATAACTTAATGTTTTATGCTAACCAAATAAACTATAGTTCTGATAGTCCTTTAAAATACTTTCGCATATAGCATTTGGAAAAAGGATACAACTATTACCAAAAAAGAAATTGTTTAAAACGAGTTTTCGTTTTATATATATTTGATGTGTTTTTGCTTATCCAGTAAAAAGTAAATTGCTTCCCCGTTTAATACAGTTGCGCTATGATTCTCTTCAGATACAACTTTTAACTGGTTATATTTCTGTGCACTTTTCCGGAATTTCTTTGTATCAGACAAGTTCCCTTGTTTATTTCGGCGGTCCTCCGATAGATATTTGCTTTATAACTAAAAAATAAGCTCTTGCTCTTGGTTAGCTCTTCTTGCACCTCCAAAAACCGTATAAAATATATTAATTTAAAACGTATTATATAGTAACTCACCATAAGTTGATAGAACCCTTTTTTGTAGAGTAGCCTAACCAACCCACAGGAACTACAAGCAGACTCGCACATGTGGCGCGCTTTTGGTTTTGTGGGGGGATGAATAACCTAAACAGGAGCTAAAAAGGAATACGGAAACGCAAAAAAAAAGAGGAAACGCTACATGCCTCTGTAAGGGGGTGTAAACAGCAAAAGCAAAACCCTTTCTTTTATTTTTAACACCGAAACGAGTTATTTATTGCATTTGCAAATTTTACACAACATTTTGCAGTTACCTCAGTGCCGTAAAATCCCCTGCTCGTCCCACTTCCCACCCTCCGCAAAAGGTGTAGCCGAAGTTTATCGCGGTAAAAATTGATTCAGTTTATACATATTTGCATGTGTACCGGGTAGCAGTCTGCTCCTCGGTCTTTGTGTAATACGAAGCTGCAAGTTCAATGAAGCCAAAAGGTGTTGGCCCCCATCCCTCAAGCAGTAAAATTGATGTGCAAATATTTTCATAAATTTGTATGCCAAAGTTTCAGGTGTCATGTTTGAAAATATCCATGAGAAAACCGAGTTTTCCATAAAAAGGAGAAAAATGTTCGACAAGCTCCACTTCGCACTTTGCGAGTTCTGGAAATTTGATTTTTGCGGTGGCAATGATATTTTGATTTTTTGGCATTTTCGTGTTGTTTGAAATATTGCTGCGATAATTTTTGATTGAGCTGTACATTTTGTGTGGTTTTGGAGGGGAAGATTATTAAATTGCAGATGTAATTTATTGAGTCGTATAAATTTCTTTGAATTATTTCTGACATTTGGATAAGTGGAAACGGAACTGGAATGGAATAAAATATAGATAAAACCATCTTTACACTTTAGATTTAAAATGGAATGCCACTGCTCTACCCTTTAGGATTCGCTTTCATTGCAGAGCAACTCTTACTTTCTGAACTCTTTTATGAACATTTTTGCCCAAAACCGTAACTAATTCGCATGTCCTTCCGTTTGCCACTTATCTCTGCTGATGTTATTTGGTGAAATATGGGGGATGTCAAGCCAAATAAAGGCGACCAATAAAAAGTGTGGCCAAGATAAGCAAAGTGGCGCAGACAAAGCCCGCAAAACGCAAAACGCAAAACGAACGGGGAAAAGGGCAACAGCAACCAGGTTGGAAAGCTGAACAAAAGCTGGCTATGATATAAGTTTCTTTTTTTCCTTTCGCTGGCCAAATTGATCAAGATATATAGGTGTATTTTGCGGGTAACCTGGTTAAGTGCACAGTCCGGCTGTCAAGATAAGTTCCTTGTTTTAGGTTTCTGGCTACACTTTAAGCCCCTTAATATGTATGTCCAACTTTTGTTTAACTTTATACGGATTTCTTTGACTATACCGGTTAGCATTTCTCCTTTTCCTTCGTTTTTCCCTAAGATGAATGCGTTTGCTTATCTGGTGGTCACTTTTCCTCTGTCTGGTATTCAATGTTTGGGGCTCCCGTTGCTGGACTCTTGGATCCCGGCTCTCGTTGCTGTCAAACGGTGTTTTAGTGCCGGCTACGAAATACTCCTGTCCGCCCGATTATCTCCACACAAGTCCCGTTTTATCCCCGTGTTGAAAGCGATATGTCTGCACTGTGGGGTGTCCCTTGCCCTCACGACTGGAATATCCTTCGGCCTGACAGCATCTTAACTAATATAATGCCCATTTTTCTGTGGTTTATGGCTTACAACTGTCAATGCCTCGTCCGACCATCCATCTAAGCATTTCCTCGGGTTCTGTTGAGCTTTTAAAGGGACTTTTCTATCCATTGTAAGGTCGTTATTTAAATTGATATAAATGACATGTCCTTGGGTTTTCCTCTTTTGTTTGGTCAGTGCTTTGACACTCTGCGGGGCCGTAAGTGAATTTCAAATCGACATAAACGCTAAGTGACTTTGATTTATCATAGTGCAGGAGCTATGTATTTACACACGCGTTTGTGTCTCGACCATTATTTCTCCTTGCCCAGAGTGCAAATAAAGTGACCTGTGGACACAGCTGTTGGACCCGCATTCTCAAAATGCATGCAAACAATTAGACGAAGTGGGGTCTCAGATTTTGGCCACACAGTCATTTCAATCACATTAAAGCGACCGTCTCAACGTTCTTTTATTGGGCAGTTTGCGCATCTTTTAACAAATTGCAGGACATAACGTTTTTATGTTCGCAACGACTTGGTCCTGTTTGAGCATTTATCTGGCATCTTGGGCTGAGCCCCGAGTGCTCTGCTTAATGGCATCTCTATAACGAAATTTCATTTGGCTCGGGCAATTAAAATGCCACTGAAATCGCCATTCAGATGGCTAGCTGCATTTAATGGAACACACTCATCCATCCATTCTTCGATTTCCTGCACTTTATGACTTATGCGCAAGTTTTTCCGAAACATTTTCCGAGCTAATTAAACGAGCACAACGCACAATGTTGCTTCTCTTTCTGCGCTCGGAAGAATAATGTCGAAACATTAATTACTTACCATTATTCACACGCCTACACCCATGAGGCTCTCGAGACTCTCGCAGACTCAGGTGCTTTCCCGATTCCGGGCCATTTTCAGGGGGTGGTGCTGCGAGCGGTTGCTGGGCGGTGGGTGGTTATATTTCATGCCACAACAAATGCCCCACAATCATTCAAACACAGACACGGGGGATTTGTCGCCGTCTAAGCCGCGCGTTGAGTTGAACAACTCAATGAGTGGCGGGGACCCAGTTTAAATGAAAGTGAGCTCCAGGCATGTTAATTATTTAGAAAGCATTCAGATTTATTTGCTTAATTCTTCTGTCTTTTTGTTTTTTGCGTTTGGTTGTGCCACATTTTATGTTTGTGCTCGCAAGTGAGTTAGTGATTGTTTTCTACCA